ACTTTATGTGAACATTTGTCTCCATATTTGTTAGAGTTGTCTTATTGTCTTTATTGCAAGTGTTGTTTATTTGCTTGTTTTTTAGTTGTGCACATTGTGATTTCATTTCATTTCACACGTTTTTTTTGTTTTAATTTCTTATGCATCGACAATCCCTAACTGAGGGGATTGTTTTCAAGTAACAGTATTACTGAAAAGGGTTTTTTTAAACTTCATTTCTTTGTTCTGTTGTTTTCTGTAACAAACTGATTAAAATTTATTGAAACTATTCAACAGTAAATCTTATGAAAATGCCAAATGGATGCAACAGAAATTCACTGAGCCAAGGGTTCATCATGAACAATGTATAGGTGATCGGTGACACAGTTATTTTCACATCATAGATTTCGCCACTGCATGAAGATTATTGGTAACAATATTTTGAATTGAGTAACTCAATAGAGTACTGAAGGTTTTACGGATACAAGTCAATGTGTTTACCTTGAATCTATGACAATAACTAAATAATTTTAAAAAACTGCATTCATTAGTATACAATTAAGATGCATATAGGAAAACCCAGAAGACGATTACATAGAAGGAAAAAAATACTTTTCAACGAAATCATCTTAGTTGTTCATTGGTAAATATATAGTAAAAAGGATATAATATTCCAGAATAATATGTGGTTCAATACAAATTGTATCACAAAGGAAAGTTACAAAATGAGAAAATGATTAGAAAATAAAAATAGTAACGTTTTGGGTGATTGATTCTCTATGATGGCCATGGCAAAGAAAAAAGTTATGCACACTTCTTTTGAAAGCATAATGATGCTTTTAACTTTTGAACCCTTGATGCTTCAGCTGTGCTCGGATGTCTTAGCCCTACTCCTTTTGATTGGTTTAGTCGCACTTTGTACAGAATTTTGATAAATGTTACATACATTAGTGTGGACGGTCTAACAATCTATATTGTAAAACAAAAATTTTCGCCAGTCAATTTTTTTGATAAACCTTATGATTGTCAGTGTGATCACTGTAATCAACATAGGACCATAAACAACTTAACAGACGAAATATACCCATTTATTCATTAACAAGAACAAGGCATGTATCAGCAAAGAAACATTTCTTTTCAACGACTTCATTATCAAGCTGTACAGTCGTATTTATACTGAGTAAAGTGACAGATAATTACACTAAAAAGTTGCTCAGTCAATATGCAAACTATACAATCGGTGGAGGTTGTGGTATTTGTTCAAGTGGAACAGACAGAAAATGGGTCACTGAAAAAGGAACGAATTAATAACAAGTGATGAGATAAGCGACAAGTGCTGTCAAAGAATTGTAAAACGGTGATAATTAAGCTGAAATGTGCACAATAGGTCAATGATTAAGGAATGAATTGATATTAACGAGTGAAATATGGTTCAAGTGTTGTCAATGAAGTGAAAATTGGTGATAATGGTGATAACAGAAGAGAAGTATACCAAAGTGAAGTGAAATGAAAATGACAAAACCAACAAAATGAATTGTTAAAGCCAAGGTAGAGAAAGTGGTTTCACAAAATGTTTTTGAATGCAAAGTTTCGGTTTTTGTCCATGTATAGCTAAAGCTTCAGCTATGCATAAGTGGTGGAAACGTAAACCTTTGGAGTAGTTCAATTTAACTTTGTAAATTATTTTAAAGGATGAATCTCGAGGTGCTGAATGTCCCAATTCAACAAGGTGTTCACATATGGATGAAGTCTTTTTCCTTTGCTCACCTTTGGTAAGCCAAACCGGGTAGTGTTCAACAACACGTTTTCGGAGGGCCCGCTTACAATGTCCAATATAGTCAGCTCCACATGAGCATGTGAACTTGTAGATACACAAAGAAGTGGACATAAGTGGAAACCTATCATTCACGCATTTACGAATCAGACGGCGACCGGAGAATATCAATCTCAGTCTAGCTGCATAGAAGCTACTATTGATACATCTTGGCAAACGATTTTTCAGCACTTCGGCTGTAGTGTTTCCTTTGAATTCTAGATTCACTGTTAAGATTTTCTTAGGGACTGTAATAGGATGGGGAGTGGTTCGTTTCTTCAGATTCTTATCAATAAATCTCTTAGAGTATCCGTTATTAGATAGTATTACTCCAAGAGTTTCGACTTCAGCATCCACCGTATTTTCTGAACATATTCCATAGATTTTGGAACACAGTGAGTGAATGAGATTTCTCTTACAACCAAGAGGTACCCAACTATAAAAGTTATTGAACTGACCGGTCCAAGTTGGTTTTCGATAGACTGACCTTTCAATCAAGCCATCATCCATTCTTTTTAACATTAAGTTTAGAAAGTGGAATGGTGAATTTAACTCTTCTTCTACAGTGAATTTAATGGACGGATGATAATAATTGAAGCGTCTTAACAGCCGGTCCACTGAACATGTTTCGTCGCAAATAAGAAAAGTGTCGTCCATGTACCTTTTATACAAATAAAGTTCCGAAATTATTTCTTTAAGGGGCCCGTTTTCAAGCTTTGCCATAAAGATATCAGCCAGGACAGAGTCTAGTGGAGACCCCATTTCAACGCCGTCCGTCTGATTATAAATTATATCGTTGAATCTAGACTGCACATTAAACGTACATCTTAATCTAAATTCAAACTAGCATATCAAGGTGAACTCGATGAGAGGGTAGAAATTGGAACCAGGGATATCAGCTGTCATTGAAAAATGAAAACAAAAAAAGTGAACATTAATATGATCCTTAAGAATGAGATAACAACAATGCGAGAGTACACCTTATGATCGTTTTTCTCATTTTACAACCTAATGTCTTTTTAGCCATTGATTTCAACCGTATCAAAGATACTCAGTAGGAAGACCACATATCCCGACACAACTCACGGATTTAAATATCTGATGAAATGACCGAATCCATCTATTTCTAACATTTCCAAAGTTTGTCATATTTCAATTTAAATGGCAAATTGCACCACACAGTGATTCATTTATATGTTTCTAGTTACCTCTGCTTATGAAGGCTTGCAACAACATAGGAGTTATTACCTCAAGTCTAAATTCGATATCAGTTGCTTGATGATCCTATTACACAAGACTGATATTATGAATATAGTAGTGGTCAGAGGTTGATAGCCTTCACTAAACTTTTATATTTAAATGGCTGCACTTCATATCAAATTAGAAGAGAAGAATAGGCTTCTGATTTGAGAACATATTCAGGTATACCCTCCGCTCCAAAAGTGGTATACGCTGATAAAAGTTAATCTTGGTCTTTGTGTAGCTGCCGACCATTACCTCATCCACCAACCTACAGTAGGATGCCATGCCTTTTAAGGTAAGTGAAGTGGTTAATGTGCTCAACCCCTTAAGTCTATGTTGTTAGACAGTGTATAGATAACGATTAACCTACAATCATCAGGTTTTACCTAGGAAGTGAGTAATCCAAGATTATTTAGCTTTTTCGGTTGATTAGACCGTGAAGTTGTTAAGCAATCTGTTACGTTGAATACAAATTTTGAAGTATGAAAGTCTAATATAATTTACATTGAATATGATGAGAAGTATTTAAATTTGAATTTAATTCTAGTGAAAGAATTTTCAAGTTAGAATTAAGTAACAATTTTCGCACAGTTAGCTTGGTGTCTAATCACATAACTAGTGTATAGCTTATTACCATTCACTTAGTAGATAATTATTATAGTTAGCCATCACATAACTGATTCGCTTAGTCTTTGGGATAGATTTCCATTTCAACTAGAGAAGCAGTTAGGTGCATTACAGATTTATTTACTTTGACCTTTACTTCAGTGTGACAAAGATGGTTCTCATATTACTTCATATTCATTAGGCATTCTGCCGTTGAGTTGGTTGATATGCATTTAATAATGAACAGTTATTCGACATTAACAAATTCACCAAATCACATAGACAACAAAAAACAATTTTAAAAACTCAATTTATGAAACGTCCAAGTTCTACGATTCAGTAGCCTATCTATATATCTGATCATCTTGGGCATTCATAACACCTCCGAGCAATACTTTAAACTTCTCATCTTTTCGGGTAGCAAAATGTGAAGGATTAAGGGTCATACATGTTTTCTTGTTGTTATGATAGATAGTGTTGGTTATTTAAGGCACTTCGACTGCTAGGTGTTCGATAATAGCTGTCAAGCAGACTGTAGTAGCAACATCATTAAGTTTATCTTAATTTTTTTGGACAGAAGACGGTGGATATAGCCAACTGTGAGACGAATAGGTATTAGCCTCAGCAGGAGATTTTACACCTTTCCCTTGTTAAATCACGATTTATTGTACAACACGGAAACTTGTGCTCTATCTTGGAATACTATAATGTCATACCTTAAAAGGAATTAATGATAATCACTTTCGATGAAGATAAAAAATGAAATATCATATGAAATAGTTTACAAGATTAATTCTAACCTATGAAAACTCCCTTTTAAGACAGATGCTGGTAAGTGTCTAGAAAAGATGCGATCGAGGTTGCTAAGTAATATGAGAATAAGGAAAACATGACAAATTATTTAGTCGTGATTTCTTTAGGATGAGTAAATACGCCACCGCATATTGTTAATTACTAACAGTTACTAAACTACGAGTACGCAGAGAACTTTTTTCTAGATACTTCATTTACACATCGACTTTTCAGTATCCTAATCCATCCAGTACTTAGTATCTGGAGCATAAAGGTTCAGTGCATTTCTAAAAAAAGTTCGACGAAATCAATCTTACAAAATTTTAGAAATTCCCGATGTTTGTTTTCGCAACCATATTTCGTTTTGCTCTCAGTTTGCATGAAATTAGTAACATTTGAGAAATAAACTGCGAAGAATATCCTTTTATATCCATGGAAACAAGGATATATCTTCCAGACTATTGGAAACCACACCAACTACAGTATCTCTTAGAGTTGAATGACCAAAAGCAGTCGACGAAAAGGGGTAAACATACGATGTTAGTTGATCAAGAATAAGCATTAAGTTACATTTAAAACGTTTATTACATTAATTCTCCTTCCTCGGTCCAAATTGAATACTAGTAACGTAACAGTTTAAAGTATACATCAAGAATATCAATACATTGATAAGTATTTACTTCATAGCAAATGATATTACAAGATTAGATAACAAAAATGAACCACGTATGTATCCACTCTTCAAAGGGGAAGAATGTCAGTAATATTAGAGAGAACACAGTATACAGAAATATGATATGAACGTTTACGTGAAATGAGTTTAAAATAAAAAATCATTTATTGAAGATCTTTTTTTTGTCTCCTCATTTTTTTAATTCAGTAGGAATTTCTTCACTCAACTATCTGTGGTGTGTAGGGAGGTCTCATATAGTTGTTTCTTGTATACTCTAATTCTTCATTTTGAACTTCATTTCATACTAAAACAATTAATTTACGTAACTGACTTAATTCCATGTGTAAAGTTTCTTCAGCTATACGTAATTTATTTTCTAAAACAGATTTTGCACTAGTCACTGTTTCATGCATTGTTTGAAAACCTTCACGCATTTCTTCACGAACTCCTTCTATGCTTTGACGATGATGATCATACAAATCATCTGATAATTTATTCATACGTACTTCTATTTCCTGTAGGGTGAAAAAGAACAAAAAAGGATTTTAACTTCCAATTAATAATGTTAAATTGAATAGCATTTACAAAAAAATCACAAGCGGCAACCTCACCTAGTTTAATAGTTCACTAGTTTATGAACCGGTCCTAAACCCAGATAAAGAGGGAAGGTTGGGCATAGAGCTAGCAACCCTACCAAGCAAAACCAACCACATAGCTAAAGAAACGTCAGAGCACAAAGAAAATATGAAAAATAGAAATAAACTTATTTCTCGCTGGAATCGGGTAGATGAAATGACACCAAATGGTGAAAGACTTTAGGAAGCCAATTAGCTGATATGCCTTGTCTCGATGAGAGCGAAAGTAAACATGAAGACATGGAATGTCTGCAAAATGTCTGAACCTGGAAAGACTTCCCAGATTGCAAAAGGAATGAAAACGTATAGCATTGAAGTGCTAGGAATCTGCGAAACCAGATGGAATGGAAGTGGACTCTCCAAACTGTCAACTGGAGAGTCAATAATCTGCTCCAATATTGTTACCCAGACGACAACCATAAGCGCACTGAGTTTTGGAGTGGCTATCATGATTTCCCCAACAGCCTCAAAAGCTCTCATGCAGTGGGAACCAATCTCCTGCTGCAAGATCATGACAGCAAGATCCAACTCAAAAGGAAGGAAAGTCACAATCATACAATGCTACCCTACCCACCTACAAATAATGCAGATCAAGAGAAGAAGAAGGAATTCTACACACAACTACAATCAACACTGAACAAGACTCCAGTTGGTGACATCAAAATTCTAATCGGTGTGGTGACATGAATACTAAACTGGGAGTGGACAACACAGGAAGAGAACCAATCATGGGTCAAGAAGCACTCGATGAAATGAATGAGAATGGAGAACTGTTTGCAGATTTCTGTGCACTCAACCATTTGGTGATTGGAGGCAGTGTGTACAAACACAAAATATTTACAAGGCAGCAACAAGGATTCGATTTCACCAGATGGACAAATTACACTAAAAATCAGATCAACTTCATCTCAATGTGAAGAAAGTGGAGATACAGTCTACTAGACACAAGATCAGATCAAGAAGGTGAGCAGATGTAGGTTCACATCACTCACTATCTAGTGTAGGGAACCTACCTTCAAAATCAAGTTGAAAGCCTTCAAAGAAGTTGGTGATGATAGACCACAGTTCAAGTTCAACACCTAGAACAGAAACTGAAGCACGAAACTACAAGGGACATCTTCAAATCATCCATCAAAACAAAATAGGAGACGTTAAGCAACATCCCTTAAGGAACCTGTGTACATGAACACTGGAACTCTTCGAAACAGATGTGGAAAGAAACCTGCATAACCGTACTAGAAAGGAAGACGAAGCAGACAAGGAATGGATCTCGACGGACACATGGAAGCTTATAGAGGAGGAAGAGGAAAATGGTGAAGCAGAAGATGAACCAGTGCAGTGCAGGGATAAACAACGACAAGAGGAACTGAGTACATTGTATAAAACACTACACTGAAGAAACAAGTGAAGAAGAGTACGCGCAAACACAAAAGACACTTCTACGACACATCGGCAAGCGAAACAGAACAGGTTGCAGGCAGCAGAGACGGAGACAGAGACCTGACAACATTATATCAAATAACCAGGTTACTATCTGGGAGGGCAGAGATCAACTCAGACGACACCAGTCAAAGATGGTGAGGGAAAGCTAGTTACCAAAGAGGAGAAACAAAGGGAACGATGGGCTGACCACTTCAAAAAACTCTTGAATCGACCACCAACACCACCATCTGCAACTCGTCCAGAAACACTACCAGCAGCCCAGCCACAGAACTATCAGTGAATACAAGACCTTCGACAATAGCAACAATGAAGTCCTGAACGCCATGCAATAAAGCTGCTGGAATCCGGGTAAGCAGCAGCACCAGATGGAATTCCTCCAGAAGCACTGAAAACAAGCAAAGATAACAGCGGACATGCTCACAACACTATTGAAGAAGGTTTGATAGAAAATAACGGAAGGTAACTGCACACTGAAAGAAGGGTTACCTTTCCAAACTCCCAAAGAAGGGAAAACTAAGACTTTGCAAGAACTGGGTGGAATCATCTTCCATCCTTGTCCACCACAAGCAAAATATTAAGCATTCAAAATTATGACAGGAACAGGCTAGCTTCAGGATAAACAAATCATCTGCGCATCAAATTGCAAGGCTACGCCACACATCACATCATAGAACAGAGCATAGAAGTGGAGTCAACTCTTTATCTCACCTCAATTTCATCGACTTTAGAAAGACATTCGATAGCGTCGACTGAGAAGTAATTTGGCAGGCAGCTGCTTCAAAACTACAATTTTAGTGCCACAAACCTTTATCAACCTCATTCAACAGCTATATACCATATGGCGACACTACATGCCAAGTGATTCACAATGGAAAACTCAGCGATGCCTTCAAAATGAAGTCAGGAGTAAGACAAGGTTGCCGTCTACTATGATCGACATTCTTCCTGATTTCGGTTGACTCAACTGCACTGCATCATGCAACAAACTGTGAGGAGCTGTGGGTAGATGGGGATACGCTGTTTGACTGATGAAAAGATCCTAGCAAATTTGGATCCCATCGATGATGATTTATGTCTAATGTAGCACAAACTCGAAGATCTACAGGCAAAAACTAACAAGTTGGCAGAAGAGGCAGGGAAGCGAAGATCGGACTCCATTCAGGTGAACGTAGAGAAGACTCAGGTGATGAAGATACCCAACAACAACAACAAGCACCGATCACCATCAACAGCAGAAATATAAAGCAAGTTGTCTCTTTCACCTACCTAGGCAGGGAAGCATCGTTTCAACTACAAGCGGCACAGGCACAGATGAGGATGTCAAAGTCAGAATCGGAAAGACTGCAAGACAGACCTTCATTGACCTAAAATCGGTGTGTAGATCTACTCCACTCCACTCCACTCACTATAAAGAACAAAATACGGATTTTCAACAATAATGTCAGTCAAGTCAGTGATTCTATAAGATGGTTGACAGACTTGGCGCGTCACGAAAAGCATTTCCAACAAACTACAGACACACACCAACAGCTGCCGTCTACGCTCGCTCACTCCATACTGAAGATCAGATCAGGAGGCCAGAAAGAATAAGGGAACAAGAAACTCACTCTGGCCTGCCAACGAACCAACCAAGAACCCATCACCCAACAAATATGCAGAAGAAAGTGGAGATGGATTGGATTGGATTGGATTGGACATACACTGGGAAGACCATTTGGGGACATCACGTGCCAGGCCAGGTCAGGTCGTCGAGTGGAACCCAAAGGGGAAGCGACAAGTTGGGCGTCTGAGCCAAGGGTAACAAGGAGACCGTGTGAGGAAGAAGTGAAAGCTTCTGGGCAGTCGTGGAGCCAGGTTAAGAAGACTGCAGAGAACAGAGTGAGATTGCGACGTACTACTGAAACCCTATGTTCCACTAGGAACCCAAGAGACAAATAATAATAACAGAATGTAGAGAAGGAATAAACTCACGGAACCTAATACAACTGTCAGAAACTAACAGACAATATATTTCAATAAATTTGACGGATCTTGATTCATGTCAGTAAACGTCTTCAACTAGTGACTACTAAATTCAGTACCTCTCAAAAAAATGGGCGAATAAAACAAATAACAAAAGATACTTATGATCATAAGAAGGTTATGTACAAATATGGTTATTATGATGCATTGAACAACTTTCATGGTATGGTAAAGAATAAAAGTAAATTTGTCAAATGCTGACTAACATTTGCCATCACTAATGCATCTTGATATTTCGAAATGATATTCACTGAGTCCACGATTTGCTTTAATAACTCTAAAATTCCATTTATTCCACTACTCTAAAAAAATAAGTTCATGCAGTACTTTCACAATTTCAATAATTAGACTGTACTACGTCATTTTCATAAAATATATATTCCTAGTTTGTAATTAGTGTACTCAGTTTGAGAAGTTTTCCCAATACACTAAAGTCAGTTAACAAACTGAAACGAATAATTGGATAGAAGCATAGAAGAATAGGCAGAAATTAGCTCTAGTATATAGAATTGGAGCTCATGTGAATTGATTTCGTCACCTAGAAAATTGTGTCATCACTATTCCAAGATTACGAGTTATAACTTATGGAAAATTAGGAAAAACGTACACAGGAAGAAAAACTAAACGCCATAGAAGTTTGAACAAATAAAATGCTATTAATTAACTGCACAATGAAAAAAGGCTAATAAGTCAGTAAGCGTTGACTCTCTGACTTTCATCTTAATAAATATGACAACCTAATGAATGGCAGTGTAAATGACAAATAATTATGGTGACAATCATAGCCTATTTTTGTAATTTATTTGTAACATAGCGTTTGTTACTTATATATGTATGAAGATTTTATGCTTAAGGTAGCATTCAACACGGACTGACACCAATTGGAGAACCAGGGAAAAACCAGTAGCACCAGACGGCCGTTTCGTCCTAAGATAGGACTCCTCAGCAGTACTCACCAATGACCTGGCTAGGGATCAAACTCTGGACTTTCAGGTTTCATGGTGAACGCTATAAGCATTCAGCTTCTGGGTTGGAGCTCAATGGTCTACATTCTCCTGCTTCTGACAATTCGAGAAAAGCATGACTATCACTCAAGGTCTTCTGTTGGTATCCACTTTACTTCCGACTGGTTGACCCACAGGTCACGGTTTCTCATTAGAACTTCGAGATAGCCATCCTGAAGCATATCAGTAATGAGAGCTATACGGTGATTTACTTTGAGGTTGATGGGAATTTTATGTTTAAGATAGCATTCATCACGGAATGATATCAGCTAGAGAACTAGGTAAAAACCTGAAAGCATTAGACGACCGTTTCGTCACGCTATATCGCGAATCGACAGAAGCAAGAAACTCTGGATCATAGAACTCCAACCCAACAGTTGAATGATTAACGCGATCGCCGTGAAACCTGAAGGTAGCGATTCCAGTCGCTAGATGGGTCGTGGATGCGTACTGCCGAGGAGTCTCATACAAAGGGAAAAACGGCTGTCCAGTGCTTCCGGTTTTTCACTGGTTCTCCAACTGATGTCAGTGTGTGACGAATGCTACCTCATATATATATATATATATATATATATATATATGCAATTTGATAACTTCAAGTATGATTGTGTGAAGTTTCTTGAAACCTGAGTGTTCTGCTTGGTCGTAAAGGATTTTGACAGTAACACGAAATAAGAGAACAATTTTAGCAACAACCGTAAATCTTTTGACATAAAACAGTTAATAGACCATTATTCCATACAGGAAAGCACTTGACATCATAAAATAATAATAATTCACTTTATTCCAAACAATTTGTGGTACAAAACGTCTATGTCTAATGAATTTCGGGATACTGAGTGAGTTGTACGTCGCTTACAACCCCTTTCATCACATATTTAGCGATATGGTCTTCGTTAACAATTTAGGTATTTATTTCCACCGCGATGATCTGTATTTTAAAGACAAAATTAACTTTTATTATCCACAGCAAAAAAGGAATGAGTTAACAAAAACAGAATAAAATTATATACTGGCAAACCATTGCACAGTCGATTCTAAAACTTTTTTGATGAAAAAAGTGACCTACACTAAATAAGTTGTTGAAAGCAAGCAGTATATCACATAGGTAGAAAGACACAATAAATTTTTCAGCTAACTTATTATGCTAAATATTATCAAATCATTATGGAGGATTCAAATGTGTTTATACCTTAAATGTTTTTAAGATTTGTTGCTTAAAATTTGATGAGTTAGTTTCAACATTTTCAACTCTTTCATATAATTCTTCATCAATCTTTATTTCACTTGCTTTCTCTTCAGCGGTTGCCTAGAAAAAGGTCGAGAAAAATAGAAATTAGATTAATCCCATGGATGAAAGAAAATTGGCATAGAATAACGATTCATCACTTGGCGCGTTGATCTTACCCCAATACGGAAAAAGAATTCTGATAAATCTTGAGACTATTCGGTTGCTGCTATAGTGAAATATGACTCTAAGGTAGAACAGATGAAGTACTAAACTAATATAACACATCGGAGAATATAGGCAACACGGGTTGTTGATATCCTGGTACTATGACTTTTCTTCCAGCTTGAAATATCAAGAGAAGAGCTTCCAAAATGAGTTAGGATGCTACCTTTGGTTCATTATCATAAAACTTCCTTGCTTACAAACATACACCTCATCTTATACAATGCAATGTCAGCGAGATTCAAAGAAATCGCCATATAAACGGAAAAGTGTTGCCAAAAAATATTCATTTAGTCGCTAATGACCCTTCGCCGTTTAGTAAAAAACTTCGGTGTTCAACAAAATGTATAAAATAATACTCGGAAAACCGCCGGTTACCTGGAGACAACGTTATTTCAATACTAATTACCTATAATACCTGTTCATCATAATGGGTTTAATTGATGTGAGAAAAGGATGATCCTTGGAATTGAATTAGAATTAAATCGGTTCGGCAGTTACAGTAATAGATACAAAATATTTTCACCCTTTTAAAAATAATGTTGACACAACATGGACACTAAGAAAAGCAACACACACGACAATACAACAATATTATAAATACATAGAAGAAACAAAACATTAAACAATTACAATGTAACCAGAAAACCAACTCCATACAATACTGTGAGGAAACTCTTACTACTTTGTTTTACTTTTCTATAACAAAAAAAACAAAAAAGCTACAGCATGACTACCATTAGCTTCGATTTTGTACTATATCAAGTAATGTCTAAGGTTACTAAGTTACTCGACCTCTCGGACCCCGCCCGAAGGGTTACGATGCACTAACAGGGGATAACCCAAAGCAAATGCCAATCTCGCGATAACACCTGATAGATTTGACATTTATCTGCTTTCTTGAAGTAGTTCTAGGAAGACTATGGTACGCAAGCACCTGAGATGATATCTTGAATGCATGCCTCAGCCTTTGAAACCATTGTTAAAGGACAATATTACTCAGTGGATAAAAGCATTCATAATGAACATTTGTCATGCGAGAACACGGGCTGCCACACCTCAAAATTGCAAACAGTATTTTCATCAGATTCTAGCAATCTTAACGAAAAACGTAATTATGCATACTAAGAAATCAGACGCAATCAGCTCGACTAGATTGGATTTAACAGGCGTGCACCGAAAATACCAAAACTGAAGCGTTGTATACTCGACCCCGTATAGTCAGCTAACGTCACAACTGTGTCAGAGGTGCATCAGATTAACATATATCACTCTGACTTTATGATGCACAGTTGAAATCTCACTTGCACCACTGAATACAGGCCCATCTGGATACATTAACGTTTTGATTGCTTTCAATGGTTCACCATCAAAAGTGAAGGTAAGCACAAGCTCCTGCATATTTCGTAAAAGTACTTTGCGCTTTTTAAGTGTAAGGCACATGATACATTTACAGGAATATACTACCAACTGATCAAGTGCAATTTGAGCAGCCTGCATGTCTCCATTTAATAAAACGATGTCGTCCGCCCACTTACAGCTAAAATTCTGTCCCCCTGGGAGATCTACACTGTCACTACGAATGTAATTCAGAGCTTTTTGAGCATATCACCGACAGTGAAGGTGAAGGCGTATGATTAAATCCGTTAGTCCTGTTTAGCTGCATCACTACTTTCGAACGGTGGAGAGAGAAAGTTGCATTAGTGCACTTTATTTGGTGTGTTTAATAGAATATGAAAAGTGTGTTTAAACTTCTCATATACATCTAATTCTGACCAACAACCCCAGGTACCATTTTAACAGTTTCGATACAGTTACAATTTCAAGAGTGTTTGATCAATGCATCTATGACCTAGACTAAAACCAAGACGTCTCTTGTAAATCAACGTTTTTTCTATGGTAAGGTCTTCACTCAGAATAATTTGTAACCGACAAAGAACAAGAACACTTTTTTGGGCGTTTCACACGATCCTAGGATTTATAGCTGAAAGACAGGGAAACTACTTGTCTACAGTGATCCAGGATTATGCATTTAGGAAAAGGCTTACCTAACTACTTTAAATAATTGAAATTTAGCAGTTTCTCTATTTGCAAGTCTTAGGCAAGCATGAAAGCTACGAAAATGAAGTTCAGCTACACAGTTTTTACTCCGCTATACATTTAGAATATAATAACTTCTACTAGTGAAAAACCAAACTTTTTCACATATTCTGTTTGTTATTCAGAAGCATACTCGTGGTGGAAATAAAACCCATTTATCACAATCCAGCATAATGAAGTCGTTGTCAATTAAGTAAAATTTAGAATATCGCAGAGTAACAAATTCCAGTTATAATACAGTTATTGATCGTTTCATTTAAGAAGAAATATAAAGATCAGAACATTTTGGGAGTAAAATATTCAACCGACATCAAATATTGTTTCCATTTGATTAGCTTATCTGAAAGATCATCAACGTTTTCGTGATAATACTTCCTGGCAAAAAAAGTTCCATTTTTGTAAGCAAGGTAGCTGTTGGATGGATATTAGACAGTGGATAGCAGTGGAACTCAGGATGCATGTTTCGCCCTATTCGGGGCTCGTCGGTTGAATGTATCTGTCTCCCAGTGAGTGACTTTTTTCCTACTAAGACTGGAAGGCAGGACAAGTCACTTTAAACGTCAGAGCCATATGCATTAGATCAGGAAGTCATGGTGGCCACTCCTTGTATGACGGGGATAGCGTAATTTTTATGTTATAGCTTGTAACTGACCTATCAATTCGATCTAATCAACGGAGACTTGCAAGCTATATCATAAAAGCCAAAGTAGTTAAACACGGAAATATTCAGGACTTGTGTAGTATTTCGTGAATAATACTGACCATATTGTAGTATTACTGACATTAAACGTCGTGAAACAATTAAACACTTGACTGACTTTCATCAGCTCTCCAGGTGGAGAATATGTGAGCGGATTTCGTGATTTGTATATAATAGTTTTGCTCAATGATTAATTATTACTTACTAATATGTTTTTTAAGGCATGTTTTTATAACATCTGCTATGTGCATGATAAACCGTAGTTACATGACGCTTAATTACCTCCGGAACACAAATAACAATCAATTTTGCTGGGCAGCTAACAGTAGCATATTCAACTGCACATACTTTTAACTTATATCGTAATGTATTATACATGGATAAAAGTTGCTAGGTGATAATCATATTTTTACAAATATATTTATGCTATAGTATTGAGCCAACTTCAATGATTTAAAGGATGACCACTTTTTGGTTTCAAATCAAACAAATATACTTCACTGACTAATAATTAACAAAAATATCGCATCACTGAATGGAGTCACTCGATTGTAAGGTCAAATAATCTGTCGACATCCTGGGCAATTATTTCAAACAAGAAGATGAAGTTTACAACTTCAATGATGCTTTCACAGTAATTCACAGATTTTTAAAGTAGTTTTCACCAAGTTGAATCGGCTAGAGAATTACTGAGGCTCAAAGTGTACCGAATAACTCTTTCCTTCATATTTCAGACCTCGTATAATGACGCATCCATTACTTCATACACAACAAAACCAATGTTTTGAGAATTCAAAGGTTTAATGCAAAGCTAAGACTCACTGGATGGATCCAGCTGATTATGAGAACATATGCTTGTAAAAGACGTTGAACAACGGTCAAATGACATCATAAATCGATAAAAGTGAGAAAAAAGGGCTGAACGCTAACGTCTTAGTAGAAAGACTTGATGGTCTTCGGCTGTGTTACAAATGACGTCTTTGTTTCGCACTTTTAAGGAAAAATAAAATAAGATGAAACTGATGCCTAATGCATTATGGCTTTTATTAATCTTCCAGTTTTTATCAAGTTGTAGCGTAAACTGCCTTGAAAGAAACTGATTCCAGACAAACTTTAGCATCAAATCACAAGTTTCCCCTGTAAGTTAGTGACATTCCTGTCAGAGCTTTCCTTTGAATGTTAACAGTAAAAAGTATTCGAAGATTCGAAAGACCTCACTTTTTATTGGAAACAACATAAAAGTCTTATTGTAAGACTATACAGGTGTAGAATGTCTTCAAATATTTTCGTCTACTAGTAGGTTTTCAGTACACTAAACAACATATACTTCAAATAAATGTATGCCACTTCAGAGAGGGATTAACTGTTCAGTTGACATACATATGATACAGTTTATGGTCAAATTATTGGCTCAAATGGACAAAATAACCATCCATATGACAATGGTTGAATATTAACGTGGTCGCCGTCAGATTTGACTGTTCTGGGTCCGGTCCCTGGTGAAGTTACATATGAAAACTGTCGAAAAGCTCCGTACTGAGACGAAACAGGTGTTCACTGCTTCAAAGTTTTCAATGGTCCTCCAAAAGGTATCACTCTATGGTGTTATATATTGCTAAGGTCAAGGTAGAGAAGGTTTTACAAGACGCTTTCGAAAGAATAGTTTAGCTCTTTACCCATTTGAACTAATCCTCCTATCATCACCAGTTGTATCGTCCATATTGACTGAACAGTCTTCCAGTCCAAACGTCTTTTACTTACCAATTATATATACAGCTATACAGATTGAGAATAAAGTCGTTGAAAAGAAACGTTTCTTCAATGTTAAAAATCTTGTTCTTACTCATGAATCAATAAGTGCAGTAAAAAGAAGAAATTATTCTCTTAACCAATTACACTGATAAATGAAAACCTTAGAAAATTCCTACTTATAACCTGAAAATATTCAATAAGCAATTTTCAATAACAAACGCCTGGATTTTTGAATCCACCAACAACTAAAAGTAAAACGTAGACCACCCTATCAGCTACTTCTCTAAGCCATATTACTAGTTTT